TATATATAGAAAGAGAAGTGTGAAGAAAAGTTCATAAATTACGTATATTGTTATATGTACTTTGAATAACGTATTGCTAACAATAGAAAAAGATAGAAGTGCATAATAGCGGGAAAAAGACAGAAAAAGAGAGAGCGAGAGAGAGAGAGAGAAATATATCTAGTGAAAGTAAATATAAAAAAGACAAAAAAAAAATTACAAAATAATAAGACGACAAAAAAATAAGGAGGAACTACTTTTGTAGGAAACATAAAGAAAAAAAAAAAAGAAATTATGCACGGCTCGTGTGTTTCTAGTGAAACTGAAAGTTTCGTACTTTGATGTACCTTTAGATTTCACGTTTTTCTTCGCAGTTATATATGTAATATATATATTATATACACATATTACATATATACACACATATAATATATACATATTATAATATACACATAAATATATAATAATAATAGTAGCATTGACGCGCAAAGCGCATAAGAAGTTGTTCGCTGAAGAAAAAGTATTTTTTTATATGGACAAATTTTTTTAAAAACCGCTTCTCTCTCTATTATTAGAAAAAAACTTTTAAGGGATGTTTCCGCAGTGAGCAGAGAAAACAAATTGTCAAAAAGAAGTGAAAGCAAAAGAGAAAAAAAAAAAAAGGAAAAGCATATAAACAAATGGGGAAGTTTAAAAAGAGCTTTGCTAAAACATTTGCGACGACGGTAATACAGATTAGAATAAAAAAGAATATAAGAAAATGCATTTAGGTATATTATGTCGACGATGCAGTTAAGCTATTTTATTACCATTCCCATGCCAGGTAGAAAAAAACATTAGTCGCGGTTAGTCTAACTGAAAAAATTAAAAGTGGTCATAAAAAATGATATATCTATTTCCTTTTAATACTTTCTTATTTTTCTAAACATGAATTATTTTTTGTTTTTTACAGTATTAAAGTACATACACCATCGTTAATTATATTGTTTTGTTCTACGTTTATTTATTATTAGAAACTTAATATTTGTTTACGTAACGCGCGTAATTCTATGTACAAAATCGAATCATTCTAACTGTGATAATTTTCTACGTTTATAAATATAATTATATCTTTTTTTTCTGTATAATTTCATTTTTTGTAATTTTATTTTATTTCAGAAATAATACAACATAGCAAGTAAAAGATAATGTTGTGTGTGTTTCACTCTTGTATGTATTAATTTTTATTTAGAAACTAATATCAAAAGGAATCAAATCTTTAAATCAGTTCGCGAATTGAACGAACACGATTATGGGGTAGAACAAAGGGTGTGTATGAAAGTGAAACGAGCGAAAAAGAAAAAGAATAAAATATATTTAATATATTCGTGCCAAATTTTCCGAGTTTTCCATATATAAATTCGAACGTTATATTAAAATATATATA